AAAATGTTTTGCTCTATATTTATAATTAAACACTTTTATAATTATAATTATATTTTACAAAATATAGAAATACATTTCTAAAGAAAAAAATCGAAATACAGTTACAATAAATTTTCATTAAATTAACGGGATAAGCAATTGTTATAAACATTATCGTAGAAAAGGTAATAGCGTCATTAAAAGAAAACAATACAACAAAGTTACGCCGCTTCATCGTCATATTTAGAACACTGCAACTTTGTTACCTACCGGTTAACTTGCGACTTTATGGCAAACACCATCATCACGGTCCACGAAACTTTCAGAGTGTTGTTCCTAAAGTCGATTCCGACATTACCTCCGGCTTCGTATACGTTTCACAAAAATTGCAAATTATTGCCACCGCAGGCGCCGCACAGGCGGAGAAAAGAGCAAGGAGGAAAAGAGGTCTCGGAAAATCCAGTTCGTTTTTATCACCCTGTCAGGCTCTTAAGCAGAACTGATGCGAGGAACGACATTTTCGTTAGCAGGCAAAAGTAGAGTTGATCTCGTCGTTGAGCAATGTCAGGATAAATCGTTAAGTTTGGTTTTCTTGTTTTAGTAAAAGATTTATTATTTCTTTTGCTTCATTTACACTTTTAATCTCCATTTCAATAGTAGTATTTGTATTCCTCTTTGTTTAAAAATATTAAAAAATATGTCTTTACTCCCGAGGCGATTGCGTCAGAATATCGAATTTATCATTTTTTAAATGTATCCAATTGAAGATAAAACATACATAACAATCAAAGAAAAACAGAAAATACATTGAAGAATTTATTTCGAAATACGTTCTAATTACTAATGAAGATAAGCTACGGAATGCAAAGAAATGTCACGCAGAATAACGAAAGACGGCAGACGATAAAGATTTAATTTAATTTAAAACAAAAACTCTCTCTCTCTCTCTCTCTCTCCCTCTCTTTCTTTCTCTTTCGATGCAGGATAACGTCCTTTCTGTTTCGAAGATAAACCGGTCAACCTTTATCTCTCGCTCCTTAGTTCCAAAGAGCGAACCGGTATCCTTCCATTACTTTCTTTTCTCGCCGCTGTCAGTGGATTCCTAGGACTTGATAAAGTTCTAGATACTTTCTTTTTCTCACAGAGACCACCTCGTTCCACGATTACTCGCAGCGGCTGGAGATCGCTCCTTCAATTTTGTCAGAAAGTCGTGAACCTCTGCTGGCAACCCAGATTTAATCAACGTTCTGTCCTCCAGCTCGTATAAATTTTCTAATGACATCGAAGAGTTTGAGTTTCTCATCGGAAGTGACAGACTGCCGACGCATAATTACAATGAGCCGCTTCTCTTTAAACTTCGAGCTCATCTCGTGAGCAATGAATAATTTTGTAAAGATTTTAATGACATAGCTCGTATTGACAAATTGTGGAACGATGAATTTTACGATTGTAAAATCATGTACAATGCAAAAGAATAGCGCTATGGGCGGAGAACCGGCAGATGTAATCGCAATTTATTAGCCCCGCGCGAAACATGTGTCAAAAAGAAGCTTGCGATTACAGGGATTGTGCTACAAATGGTCGCAAATACGATTTATTAAGCCGGACAAAAAGTCCCAAGGAAAAAAACACGCATAAACAGCGGTTTACGCTTTAAGCGACGCGACTGTGTCGCAATGTTGCGATAAAAAGAACCGCTTACAGCAGCGTTTGAAAAATTTAATGCAAATGGAGTTGCGCTTTATTGCGTCGGGCGAGACAGAAACCGCCTAAATTTTTCGAAACTGTGGTAATCTACGTTCCCTAGACAAATAATAGCGTTGGTCGAGATATAAAAGTAATTGCTGTTTAATCGCTTCGTGTCGCGGAAAACGCGAAGAACTTCATGAAAAAGAAAATATCACTTCATAACACAGACATAGAACAGCAGACGGTGATGACCACGAGGAATGTTCATGAAACACATAAAACTTACGCGACGCGTGTCTATTATGATGTCACATTTTTATTTTATCAATAAATTTGCTATCCTTTTATATTTTTGTTAAATTTGTATTATTCCAGTATTAATATTATGCAAATATCTGAAATTACAAATATTTGCTCGATTTTTTAATACCTTTTTAAAGTGCTGTGATATGAAAAAATAATAAAAATCACTTTTTGTTACGGATGTTAACATATATTTGAACTTAACATACATATATTTACAAACGCAATATTTGATGTTTTAATATCGGAAAAGATACAATCAAAAACAAGCATTCTCTAATCCGCAACATTTTGTCTCTAATTCAACACACTTTCACTTTTCGAAACAAATTCTGTTGGTTTCACAATGTGTTACCTAATGAGTTTTTTTCATCGTTCGTATTGAACACAAAGATGTGCTAAGAATTCACTTAGCGCTTTGCGAAAGTCAATGCTTTTTACACTTGAACTGCGATACATATTTATAATATGGTGACTATAGAACGATCTGAATCGGTACAAATGTCGTCTTGAATCGAGAACGCTAAATGTTCTCGCTCGACTGCATTTTCCACTGTTAAGCTCCTCAGGGCGATAGATCGAAGAGAAGTCTAAAGTGCTTCACCGTCGACGCAAAAAGCGCCATTGGCGCGACGTTATCGCGTAGGGACCACCTAGTTTTTATTCCTCTCCATTACACGAGGACCTTCCTGAATGGGCCACGAGAGAGGACGCACGACGGGTCATTACGCATTCATGAAGATTATATGCAGTTCAGGCACGTCGCGCGTGGGAAATTGGGCCGAGATTGTCCTTATCGTCATAAATCACTTGTGTGATATCATCGACTTTTCATTCTCAATCACTGTTGATCGTGAAATCTTTCGAATCGTCAGATTTCTTACTTCGGCAGAAATATGAAATTTTTTTTTTCAATATCCACAAGATATCTCGAAGATAAACTAATTACACGTAATATAATATAAATGTATATTCTTGAAGTTTTTCAATCGATCCATAAAGCTATAATAATAATAAAGATCACATGCTGCTGCAATATAAGTGCGGCGTTTTGTCGCTGCAAGATTTGCGACCCATATTTTGCTGTGAACTGAGTTTCGCGAAGACGAGTACTGACGAAAATGGCTATGGAGTAAAAAGAAGCAAGGATAACGTAACGACCGCTTTGCGTGCTTGCAATAATCAACACGAGGCGAGCCGAATAAGAGCGTGGTCGAAGAAAAGAGGGTAATGAGTTAGGATTGGGGATGAAATTAAAAAGAGAAAAACCATCGGAGTTTAGCGTGATTCTTTATTGCGCTCGCCTTTGATACTACGAGATTGAAATCGTACCAACAGAAAGAGTGGTATCTGAAAGATCCATCTATGAATTACTGTCAAGTAACAAACGAGTAAAAGTTAGTCCAATACGAATACAAGATTAAATTCATCACTGTCGAATCGATTGTGGCGACCATAGTATATGTAATTTATGACGATTTATACGATGTAAAAACAAATGTGATTAAAATCGAAAACGCGTCATTTCTATTGAGAAACTTTAACATCTACGTATATATATTAGATGCGGTAGCAGATACATCTATCAACCGGAAACTGGAAACAATCTTTATCCTCATCGCCTTGAAATCTCGACGAAAGGTAATGAATCAGGATTCCTCGCATTTTAATAACCTCGACAGCACCGCCGTCATATTTCACTTGCGTACGCGCCTAAGTCATTGCGCTACCCGCAAAACGTCACGCGAACCGCCGGGACGAACCGTAATTTCCATCAGCTGCGGTAAGTGGTCCGAGCAATAATCACGTGAGAACGCAATTTTACGGTCCGTCATACTGGCAAGGCTTGCAGTTAAATTTCTATTGCTCTAGCCGCCCCGTCCCGAGACGGCCGCAGAGTCATTATTTCGACGCATCAGTTAATTTTACGGTACGACCGAAATGTATCTGATCAAAGAATCCGTCGCGTCGTCACTTACGGCAATGCGAAATTGTTTGCGGTAATGCACAGTCACACATTATGCAGCGATGACGTCAAATACATCATCGCTGCAAGTTGAACTTCAGTAATCTCGACATCCGAGTCTCGATTTGCAAATTACGTAAATTTTTCAAAAGTACCAGAAAGAGAAGATGTAACGCAGATGTGCCTACTTCATAACGTGCTAATACGCTTCTTTTATGAAAGGAAAGCAGCAATATATTCTAGATATACTAAAGCAAAATCTATAGCTTCCATTCAAATTACATATATAAATACAGAAATTATTACAATATTGATATACTTATAAAAATATATATTACATGTTGTAATCTACGTTCATTAAATGATCATCATTCATCAACCAACGTTTTCTTATCCAATTCGTCGTTTTTCTCAGAAGAAACACATTCATCAAACGGTACGTCCACATTTTGTGCTTCCGGTGTGTAACATTTCTTGTTTAAATATATCTGAATTTCCTGCAAGGTTTTGTTTTTGGTTTCAGGAAGAATGAAATATAAGACACTGCTCCCAATCAACGTCACAATGCCATAAACGGCGAATGTGCCTTCAAACTGCATAAATTCCATCATAAGCGGCATCGTCTTGATTACTATAAACATGCATATGTAATTGAAGCTGGTTGCTAATCCGGAACCAAACTCACAATATTTTCTCGGAAATAATTCACCGCAAAGCATCCAGGGCAGGGTAGTCAATCCCAATGACACCAGAATGATGTAAGCAACAAGTAAAATCACGAAACTCCAAGGTTTTCCAATGTCAAATGTCAAGCACACACTTAAAGATAACAATATGATAACAGTGCCATAACAGGATATAAACGTCACAGTGCGCCTGCGGCATGTTTTCAGAAGTACGCACATGAGAATAGCAAATATCAGACGAATTGTGTCGATAATAAGCATTACCGTATAGGGCGAGTGCGAGACACTCACCAACATCCCGACGCAGTAGAAAGTCATTACGTTAGAACCCGAGAACTGCATGATAAAGAAGTACAGGCAGATGATGCTGAGAGGTTTCAGGAAATATCGCGAGGTCCACATCCTTTTTTGCGATTGCAATAACGATCGTTTCTTGATTCTCTTTCCCGATATTTCCGCGAGTCTAATGGTTTCCAGGGGGGAGAATTCCTCGAGTGATTCTTCGCCACGGAGGTATATCCAGGAGCGCTTCGCCTCCTCAAATTTGCCTTTACGAAGCAGCCACAATGGACTCTCTTGCGAGTAGACAGAGACTATCCAACAGATTACAGGTAACACGCCACAGATATACGCGGTGGTTCGCCAATGCAGCCAAGTTCCCATCGCGTGACACGCCAATATACCGACCGAAAGGGTCAAGTTGCCTGCCCCCAGTAGAATACCACGTAGCAGAGGGTCGCTCGTTTCACTCACGTAGATCGAATATATGGGCGCCAAGACCCCGACACAGTATCCACAGAGAAAACTGCCTGCTATTAAAACTTCTACGCTGTTGGCGAAACCGATAATCAGCCAGCCTATAAGATAGACAGGAAATACTAGCATCACCGATGTCTTTCTGCCAAGTTTTTCCGCCATAAATCCACCGGTACAACATCCTGGAGCTATTGGTAGAAGTGTGGATGCTGCGATCCATGACTCTTGATCGATACTGAGCACTCCGAAATGATCCGTATTCGCAGATTCGAATGAAGATTCGACGTTATTGGTCGAAATTCTCTCCAGTTGCGGAAGAAGTATCGCGCTGTAGCCAAATGACATACCGGTTACGCAGAGTCCGATCAATTGTCCCGAAATTGTTAACAATTGTCTGAGATACAGCTTGAATTTGGTATCTGGTATATCACGGTCATTCATCTTCATTACGGTACAATAATATCGATTGTAAAAAGAATTCAGAGATGTTGATAAAAAATAACGTAACTATTCACTGTCACTTCTAATACGTATATACGTTGGAATTTTATCTCTTCATCTTCCAAATAAATTTCTTCAAATTCAAATTAGCTGAAATGCACGCACTACGAACGTTCAGTAAAATGAGACTGTTATAGAAACGTTGGTAAGATACTGCAGTTAAATAAAAATTGCTCGATAAATGACTTATATGTAAGCGATATTTGTAATTATCTCTATAAAGTTATTAAAAAGTATATACACAAGCTTTAGGTCACGACTGATTACATTTTATCTCTTCCACTCTTTATCGAATAACCACTGATATAATCGTGAGACGGATTAATTTTAATGCACGATAAATGAAATAACGAAATACCGACAAATAAGAATAATCCGTGCAGTCGTGCGGTTACAACATCGATTGGTAAAAAATTGCGTCCACAGGTGTTGTAACTAAATAATCATTTGTTAGAAGAAAATCAATTAATTATTCAGTTACGAAATCGTTGGACCTTTCTGCTCTTAACAAAAAAAATACAAAATATAAATCCTTTAATTTCACGGTTATTTTCCTTAAAGAGGGAAACCACTATGTGTCAGTCATATAATGTTGCATCCTTTTACAAACTAACAAGATGTAATCTTCAAAATGATTTGAATACCATTGAGACTCTTTTCAAAGGCTTTAATGCTCGAAGCTACTCAGATAATACCTACCAGTATATTCTCGACAATATTAATAAAAAATGACGCAAAGAAAAAAAGAGCAAGATAAACAAGCTATCAAGATGTAGCGTTATATAAAATTCAAAACAATGTTATTTTTTAAACTTATCCGAAAAATGTCGAAAATGCAAATTTAAAATTTGCAGGACAAGTATGGATTAATTATTACATAATTTTATTACATAATGTATGTAATAAAATCACAGCGATAACTTGAATATTAAAAAATAAATAAAAAATAAAACTGAGAATATTTCCGCTTATCGATTAAATGTGCAATTTTGCCTTTTTCTATTTTTCTTATCACATAGCAATTAAAAAAATCCGAAATCTATGTGGTATTATACAAATCCAATCCTATGTCTATATTATTTCACAAAAGTAAATTCGAGTGTCTCGTGTCGAAATAATGAAGTCAGTCCACCGTTCTGCCGTGTAGAAAATTAGACGCACCACATGCGTGACGTACATACGTCCTCACATGAAAATGAAACTGAAATCTCCATACATCTCTCTCCGCGTGTAAAATAATTTTCCCGCAGCGCCTCGGAGTACGCGTGGTATTTTAACTAGCTGAAAAGGGATTTAAACGATCCGGGATAGCGGCCGCGGGAATTTGAGAGCCGTGAATTTAATACGCACCCCTCGTCGAGCGACGGGGTGTTTCGTATTTTGGACGGCTGCCAAATGCGATTTTCGCGTTATTTATCTTTCGCGAGCGAGGATACGCGCGTCCACGCGAGGATGAGGGTCGAACTCGTACGCATCGATGTGCCACGATGCATCGTGTGCTTGTTCCGGCGATTAAAAACTAACGACTCCGCTAGCAGTAGTGCCAAGCGAGAGATATTTAACACGCTTTCGGTGTTTCGGATGTAATTAAACGCTTTTTTTTTTACCGTTCTCGCTTCTAATTTCCACCATCAATTTCAAGTAATTCTTATTCGTACAAAATGTAAATACCACTTCTCTTCTTTACAAAAATTACCGTGCAATAAAAAACTGTATAGAGCAAGGAAAAAGTCTTTTTATATGTATTTTCAACATGTTTTTGTCTTTAACTTGTTAAAATCTGTGCTAAAAAAAAAACTAAAAAAAACTTTTACGAGTGATCTAATTTTCTCGGAAGTGAAGAAGAGAAATCTTCTTCCTATTGACTTCATTTGAGACTTTACCCGTAAGTTTCGCGTATTTCAGGACCGGTCGATAGTTAAAATTCTTACAACGCGAAGGCAATCAGTAAACCAATAGAAATCAAGAGCTTGAACGAGCAAATAGTGAACCTGGCAAATTTCCGCCAATTCTATTACTAAATTTCTAACTCTTTGATATACGGTAAATATTCTGTCGTAATGTACCTGTTCATCTACTTCGACTCACGTCGCGTACGAGTTATGCCTTTTAATGTCGAGGACTCTCAAAACTCTCGTTACCCCCGCGAGCCTGCACTTCGACGTAAGAGAAAGAACTTGTTTAACGGCAAATGCTTTTACGACAGTATCCGTTGAGATCCAAGAAGCTAGTGGGTGCATTTTGATGAACTCGAGAAAGAATGAAAGTCAGATATAATTTCATGAAAACAAAGCGTAGTAGTTGATAAAAACGGCGAGAGTCAACGCCAAGTTAATAGTATATATAAAATATAACATAAATTTTCAATCGTATCTTCAAAACGTCATTTTAATATTTCGAGACACAAACATATATGTCGTATTTAAACGTTCCTAAAATGAACGAGAAATTGCGGGACGATGCAATATCGTCAGCATAATTTCTAGATGGATACAATGTTTACGAAGGCTTCTCCTTAGAGAGCGCCGAAATTTGGCGGAAAATTTATAAGCGCAATCTCGGAAGAAATTTCTGAGAGACCTCAGGTAATTCTAAGGTTTAATATAAGTTTCACTCGTCGTCTCTTTTCAGTCTCGTGTACAAGAGAGAGACTTATTTAATGGTTGATGCTCTTATGAGAGTGCATGTCGAGTACTAGGAAGGCCAGGGTCGTCGTAGATTAATGTTGACAAGCTCTTGAAATGATGCAAAGAAGACTTTTCGAAAGCAGAACTTTTCGCAATAGTAAAATCTCTGTAAAGTATTTTGTGCTATTATTTACGCATGATACGATTATTATAATGATACTATTATATATAATAATATAACAATTATGATAATATATATGTAATAGTATAAGTCATTGAGACCGACGGTATTCATATTGCGATTCTTATATTTAAGATTGTCTTAAGTAGTCTTAAGATGTCATAAATCAGACAGCCTTAGTATTTAAGATTTTACTTAAGATTGTAATAAGAATTAACTATAAATACCGGGCATTAAATTATTAAGCTTTTCTTAATTCACATGGGCAGAAAATTTCAATTTAAAATACGAGAGAAAATGGATAATTTATATAATTTATATAATAATAATATTTTTTCATTCGTTTTGTGCAAATTTGTGACGCGCATAATTAATTAGAAGAATATTATTTGCTTTTAATTAATTTGAATTATTATCATATAGAATGTGTTATTTTAACATTAATATATTTATCTATCATTAGTGGAACATCTGTCCGTTTCGAAACCTTTTGTTCGTATAGCACACTTGACGACTAAAAGCTTCGAGAAAGCCGCTTCACCTCCGTCGAACGTGGATAGGCCAGTTCGCATAGAGAGATTGATGCGTTTTCCGGAGTAGAGAAAAAACAACTCGCGTTGGATGCATTTGTTCGAGGTTTTAGGTGAAGAAAAAAAGCCTCCGTTGGAACAACCGAGAGAAAAGTTTCCACACAGAAGAAGGGAGCAAATGAACGAAGGTCGCGTAAGCAAGTAGATATAGTATAATATCTCTTTAGGAATACTAAGACACAATGTGATAAGTGAAAAAAAGGTTTTCAGACCAATTCCAATGGTCAAACATCATACTTTTCGTAAGTTCTTGTTTAAATGCTTTTTTACAGTAACCATGTAATATGGAAATCTGTAAAAACTAGTTAATCAATTAAGGAATACAAACACGGAATTCAACCTTTCATCGGTTCCAGTTGAACTTTGTGTGTGTATGTGTGAAAGCACAATCGATTTATTATTTAATTGTAAATTCTGATGAATAAATTTAAATCTATAAAAAGTAAGTAAAATACAATCCAACTATGATATAGTAAAAAGATAAAAACTCAGTGATAAAGCTTTCACAAGTATGCAAGAATTTTTTCAGATTTCTGTACAATCCGCGCGAAACAATTAAAAATTTACACTAAACCTCAAAAATTCAGGTTGACGAAATTCTACATGCTCGACGAAGAGTTAATAGAAATGATGTGAGAAGACTGACGTGAAAATACGAAATAGAATCAAAAAAATATTTAGACTGCATTTGCGGATAATGAGCTTACGAAACTTTTGTTGAAACAAATAATTAGAATTTTTATTATTTGACGACGCAATTGAAATTGTTTTACAAATAGGCAATTCGCACAAAAATATGCTAAACGTACATTTAATTAAAAATGCGCAGTGTTATAAAACTATATATTTTTAACATTTCATAATATACTTAGCACAAAAATCATGTAGAGAGAGTTGTGGTTAGAATTTGTTCATAAATGAAATGAAAAGTTAATCTTTTCTGCTCTGTGGGGAAATCAACATTTATATACGCAAAATTAATACACTTGATGTACATAAATACAATTTATCACAGCAGATTGATGCGAGAAAATATTGCCCAACGTAGCAAATCGTTTATTTTTTACGATCCATTTTGCACGTTTCATGTTACCTAAAAACCGATTCACTGAAATTTTTAAAAGGATTCCGGGTCAATTTAAACAGTTTTGAAAAATGATCGGCTATTGTTCATCGCTTGGACTACCAATCTCTCTCGTGCTTCTCTTCGCGGATTCATAACGCGTTCCTCTCTTGCAATAATATCCAATATATTACCGATGTTCAACATGCGAGTCGTGCCAGTGGATGGCGAAATGATTGCTTTACGAGTAGTCCCATTCGTTCGTTGAAACATTTGAGATATGAGCAAAACATTTTCTCGCAATAAAAGATCCGTAATGCAAAACGACACAAAGGACATTTGCGAGCATATTTGCGGAAATATGCAAGTACAAAGGATTCGACTTTAATGACAAGATTATCATCAACTTGACAAGACGTTCTACTATATCTTTTCTCGTATGGGCCGATATCCGTGTATTAGCATAAGATATAATTTAGGAAAAGAAATTACACATAGCGCGCGATAACACAAAAAGAAAAAAAAGTTGGAATTATTGAGAGTTTGGAAACAAACCTTAGATGTAAATATATTACATGTGTATTTATCGTTCTCCGTAATATAATTACTTATTTTATTAAACATTCTTAATATAT